TGATTTATCATTGAATATCTGTGTAAATCAAGTTTAAATTTCCATATCTCAAGTGTGTAAGACAAAGACAGAAACTCGCTTCCAATACCTTTAATTATACTTAACATGTATAAGCCATTAATTTTCAATACTACTTTATTCAAGGCTACTATTGAAAATATTTAATTAATAATTATGAATTTTTTTTTATCAGTGATTTAAACTCAAGTTGTAATTAGATTTTAAGATATGAGATTCATAGAAACAGAGAAAACAGATCAAGATTAAAAATTATACATCTATAATACTGGTTTTTATATTATTATTTTTTTTTTGTTAGTACCTACCTTGTATTTATTTAAGACTATTTTAGATTCTGATTAATACACAATTCTATAATCAGTTTACTTCTCTTCTATGAGAAAAAGCTTCAGAAATAGTAAGAAATTTTTTCTAATAACTTAATTACCAGTTTTAAAACTAAAGGAATATTTTTATGTGAAAATCAATAAAAATTATCTAAATTTCTCAAGAAGATTTTTCTCTTCTCTTAAGATGTTTTTTTTTATATAATAGTGAGTTATTATAAATTTAAAATGTTCAATTAGAGAGAAAGAAAAGCTGAAACCGCTGAGCAACAGCTGTATATAGGAAGTTGGGAAAGAATAATACATACAAAAGTTATTCAATTTATATCTGTTAAAAACTATAAACTATTGCTAATAATTTAAAAAGCTGTTATATTTGTAATGTTTGTCAAAATCCTAAAATTACCTAACCTAACCACAACTTTTTATTTACTACTAAGTGCAACTTATAATGAACCTCAGTGTTAGATTTCCAAGCATTCCATTTTGGTCAAACAATTGTATCCACATTAAACCATATAAAAACCAAAGAACAAGAAAAAATAAAATGTCTATACTCCATACCATAAGAGAACACATGCAGATCAAAAATTTTCACACATCACTACTACAAAACATGCACAACTGACTCCCACTATGAAACACAACAATGTGTTCAATTTGGATTGGGATTATTTGGTGCCAGTCTCTTGTAGTACGGAGTATATAAAAAAAACTTAGAAATAATATTATTAATAAATATTCTATGAAAATTTCAGGTTTCAACAATTATTTTTAACAGTATTACAAAAAAAAAAAAATTGACAATAATGAAATCCTTAATGCCAAGAACTTTAGCATTTGAACTATATTTTTTCCAGTTATCAGGAAAACTACAAGGATAATCAAAAACGATTCCTTACACAGAGACTAGGCAAAATTTTCTTGCAAAAAATGCTACACTTGAATTTCAGAGAAAGGTTCTTGTATAATCAAAACACATTAAAATGACGAAATCATTAATTTGTCAGTATTTCTTTTCCGGTTTTTTTTTTTTTAGGGTTTTCTCAATTGTTATGAAAACTGATTAGAAAACCAAAAAATGACATTCTTACTCACCAACTAGATCCAAAATGCAACAAAAAAGGTCTCTTGTCATTTTTTGATTGAAGCAAATTTCTGGTAGAAAAGTTGTTCTCAGACAGAAAAAAAAAATTAAATACATTCCTTGTTTGGCTCAAAATCTAAAAAAAAATTCTGTAATTTTTATGATTTTCTTCAAATTTTGATCTAATAACACTTATAAAAAAAAACTACTACATTACTCATTTTTTAAATTTTAACGATAATGAGAAATGTATTGGTTTTACTAAGATGTGTACTTTATAATTTTTTCTATAGGGAAATAACTTTCCATCAGGAATCTTGCTTAATCAATAAATGACAATAACACTTTTTTGTGGGTACATTGATGAGGTTAATTTTTTTTTTTCCAAGCAGTTTTCATAATAATTTAGAAAAATATACACATTTATTAAAAACAGACACATAATTAAATAATGATAATGGTTTCAAACAGAAATGTAAGATCTTTTATGGAAGACATTTTGTCTAGTTGGTTATTAAAAAAAGCTGTTTCTTGATTTTTTGTGTAGTTTTCTTAATAATTGTGAAAACTAAGAAAAACATATTAAACCAAGGAAAGTATACAAAATTAACAATTTCATTATTTTTGGTTTAATGCGATCTTAAGGGAAACTTCAAGACAAATTCAATTCTGCTTTCAGAACTTTTATTGCTTCACTAGATCAATTGATATATTGGAAATAAAACACATCTAAATAATAC